AGTGATTCACTTCTAACTTTCGTGTAGATAGCTATATTGGTTCTGTGTATTAAGAAATGTGTGGTCTCCTTTCCTAAGCCCCAAACAGAATAGAGACTCCTGTGTTTTATATAGATACGGTTAAGACGGCTTGCTTATCTTTCTGTGTGCTTCCCAGCACTAGGCTTACGAGTGTGTTACAAACTTTAACAGAATTTTTTCTCACAAAAATTGTTATGCGAGTGCCCGGGTTACTGTTGGTCATGATCATAATCTCTGGACTGTCTTCCTTAAATGCATGAATGTTCCTAGCTTTTTTCCTTTTCTGTGCCCCAGTAATGCTTCAGGATAAAGCAGAAGGATTACATGAGCATGTATAATGAGAATGTTCCTATTCTGAGATCTTTGGGAAGAGGAGGCAAAGCCATCAGGGTGCAGCTGCCACAGAAGAGGATGTGAAAGCATGGCAACTGCGTAGCAAGGAGATGTGGTTTTCATCTAAGTTGCACAGTGGGAAGCACTTCATTCAATAAGTTTTCTGTTCTCCTTACTTAAAAACTTTTGAATGTTGTCTTTTGGGGTAAAGGTGCTTGGAGAACACTCATTACTTACAAGTAAATAAAAACCAGCTAAACACATCTAAAAGGACTAAAGTTCTTTCTGACTGAAGTAAGATGCTGAAATGCATCTTACAGTAAGAGACCTTCAAGGCACAAAATCAATCAATTGGCTCTAAAAGTCCTACCTGGCTATTGTATTTTTCAGGTGTTTGTGAGAGGATTTAATGCTTTCCGGTTTGTTCCTATTGAGGGGCATTCAAAAGGAACAGTGTTTGGGAAGTGTAGCTTTCTCTAATAGTGGAGACAGAGACTATTCGTAAGACCTAAGAGAAAAATATTTGAGAGGAGAGAAGAGCCTGAGTGGCAAGGAGTGATGTGTTTGGTCTTTCAGCCTCCTGCGTGGAATTGCAACAATACCAATGTCAGGAACCTTTTGACACTTCCTGAGGAAGAGTTTGTCCTTCCAAGCAGAACAAAACCAGTATTTTGTCTCTGTGTAAGACAGTAAAAAGATCAGAAGAAAAAAGAGCTTTCACAAATACCTATGGTGGTGATTTATCTACTTCCTAACAGATAGGGTGAGGAAGAGACAGCATTGACATTTAATGGGGACCGTGGCACCTGCTACAACTGAGCACCGTGAAGCATTTTTTCCCTTGATCCTCAACACAAACTGTTTCAGGAGACTTACTTGTTTTTTTTCCTTTGTCATTTATTTAAATAAATTCTCACCAGCTTCTGTGATTCATTTCCCCCCAAGGGGCTGGCTATGCTGCCAACAAAAGAAGATTCAAAGATTAACAAACTAGCTATCTTGCTTGGAGAAAATCCCACCGGTAGTTTAGCTGCCATTGCTTTGTCTGAGGACACTTACTTGAGTGTCTGGTAGATACAGTAATTGAGTTTTACTTTTGGTTGTAGCCAGTTTTCACAGGCAGAGCATTTCCTTCCCCCTTGCACACCTGAGTGGTCTGTTGTGCATTCTGGGTGATCCTGCTGGGATTTCAGAGGTGTATATGAGACGATTAACCTAGTATTCCCCCAAACCCCATAGCACTATGTCATGGCCCAGTAATGAGCTGCAAAGTTAGTCTGGTGCCATGGAGTACTGATGGAGTACTAGTTGGGATGCTAGTCAAAGCCTTTGGTCTCTAATTTTAGTAGGTGAGCTTTTCTGGGAGGTCCACCTGCCTTCCTACTGTTGACCCTCTGTAAACAGCCTGCATCCCTGCTCAACTCTGTTTTCCCCCCAGTCCCCTTCTGCTTTTGGGTGGCCTGGTTTTTGCTATGGAAAAAGGGAGCTGGGGAAGCACAGAACCTTCTGCTCTAGAAATCTGTCACTATTCTTTGAGCTGTGCACCATTGGTCTGGTAAGCAGTGACATGGGAGAAAAATGACAACTAATTCGGAAGCTGGGAGAAGCAACTGTATGCAGGCATTGGCAAGATGTGTCTTTAACTTGCATAAGGCTACAGCAAAATGAGTTCAGTGAAGCTGAAGGAGATGTTGCCAGTGGGAGGAGGAGTGGAATTGGGAAAATAGATGCTGTGCACACTGTGATTATTATTTACTCTGTGAGGAAGCATGAAAAATACTACACATAACAGATGCAAGGTGCCACAGAGGTAGTTATTTCCTGATGGTTATGTTAAAAAAAATTAAAGGTAGAAACAGATGAAGAGTGGAGAAACTCTACATCCCTACTTGTATGTAGGCCTTAGAAAATACTATTATAAGAGAGCATCGGAATGAAATTGGAAGAAATTCCTTAGAACACTGAAGAACGAAATGCCATTTATTTAAAGCACAGCAGCAAGCTATTTTGAATATGGTCGGTCATATGTCTGGAGGTAGACTGAAGTTTTGATTTATATGGACCTAAGTGGACTTAAGTTTTGATTTGTAATGTCATTTCTAAGCCTGCTGGGGTAGTCCGTCATCTTTCAAATATACTTAGAGAACATCCTGTGCTAGCGCAGTGGGTAGCACTTTTGAGCTCAGTCTTCTCCTCAGCCTCTAATACCTCAGGTGTAGTATAGAAAAAACAAAGGTGAAAACATAATGGTAACTGCTACATATATAAAGGATGATGTACTTTTATTATTTTTAGATAGCAACGTTTGAGTTATGGCCACCGGACTGATGGATAATGATCAGCTGATTTCCTGTCTGACAGATGTTCTAGATTTGTCTCTGCACACTTTTTTAATCAAGTGCATAAATCAAAATTAATGTACGTGAAAGCGTGTCAGAGTGTGTCCTTCATCATCTTCCTGGGTTGTCTAGTATTATGCAATGAAGGGAGATTACATCAGGGGAGAAAGAGATGAGCTAGAGAGGAAAGGGAGGTATTTGAAACAAATGCAGAAGGTGGGTAAGATGAAACTGTACTACGGAAGAGAGTAGTTTCATATTACATGAGTTGTAGAGCAGATTTTTCTCCATTTAAAAAGTAACCATTTAGGGACCAAAACATCCACGCAGGAGGGAAAAGAAAAAAACAAGTCCACAAGATGGGTTTGAGAAAGTCTTTGATGTGTTTTGTTGTTAATGTAATTCTGTAGATCTTTGTGTGAACAGCAGTCAGCTTGCAGCAGTATTACTGTCTCACCAACTAAATGGCTGAAATGAAATGGGCAGGAACTGCAGCACCACTGGTATTTTGACATTGGGAACAAATTTTAACAGCTTTACTAAGCAAAAGGAGATCCTGAGTATTTTCTGTTCTGAAGTGTAATTTACAGTCTCTGCTTGCTCTGGTGAGCATGTGGAGAAATGTATTTAGGACACCTACAGTTAAGTAAATACAAACACCCACAAAAAACCATGAGACTGTGTCTGTAAATATGGATTCTTCATATGTTGATATTTCTTGTCAAGGGCTGACCTCACCCATTTTAATGAATACATAGTATAATACTATATCTAACCAAGAATGTTGATACACATAGTTTGTACATTTTCTCAAAGTTGCAATCTCGAATGTCCATGTATAGTTTTTATATTTTTGCTACTTATGGACAAGATTCATTTGGACTTGACCGGACTGTTTTCATGCAAGAGAGGAACCTTCTGCTAAATCTCCAGGTCAGAACTTTCAGTTACTGACTTTGGTTAAAGAAAGTGGTTTATTTGCATGTGCAAGTCATCTTTCAGACTTGCAGATTTTACTCATGCCTTCTTTTCTTGCCAAGAAGGATTCCTTTCTTTTATTACAAAGTATTTAGAGATACAAAGATTAAGAATATTTATTCTTGTTATTGGAGTGACACAGCGGAAGGGCACTTTGAGGGAGAAAAGGAAAATGTTCTTTGTGGTGGAAACGCCAGGTCAGCATCAGTAATCAAATTTCTGCCCCTCCTTTCCTGCACATCAGAGCAAGTCATGTTTGATCTCTGTTGGCCTCGGTTTTTCTATCCGCGAAATGAGAGCACTGATATTTCCCAACCTTAGCAGAATTTTAGAAGGGGGACTATGATGCTTTGCTTCTTACTGACCGTATTTACACAGAGACAACATTCCTGTTCCCATGTTGCACACAGAGCTGCATTCATAAACAGCAAGTAAATATTGTTTTTAGTTGAACAAGTCATGTCTAATTATTAGAAATTACCTGTTAATTATCAGGAATTATTGCGTACAATTCTGGTATGATAGTCTTTTGTGATTCTTAATAATACAGTTGCTAATGGCAGTTTTCACACACTATCCCTGTGTGCCACTTGCAGCTAAGTATCACCTCCTTCTGCTCCAGGTGCTCTCACTTAACCTGGTGCCCTGGGGCAGGATCCTGCAAACACCTCTATGCCTGATCCAAAGTCCATCTTGGTCAGCAGGAATTGAATATTCAATGGGCTTTGAGACAGGAATTGAGGGAGCTGAGCACTGTTGGTTCTGTTATTTCCAGGCTTCGGCTATTTGTTAGATAAAAGTCACATGCACAAGCTGAGGTGAAACCAAGCTAACAAGGAGCAGAGGAAAACAAATAGTTTGTTACCTGCAGGATAAAAAAATTAGGATTCTAAATGAGAATCTAAACAAGATTCATAATAAAGAAAACATGCTTTGCTTCATAGATACAGTACGGCAAAATAGAATTTCAGTTCCCTTCCAAGTGGTTGGATGGCAAAACCACTTAAAAAGAGAAATCAGGTCATAAAAAGACATACAAGCAGCTGGCAGAAAGGGCTATTGCTGACCTATCCACAGGTTTCTTGTAGGTACAGAGCTGTTCATTGTGCTAGTCTGATGTGCAAATGGCAATGTAAGGAAATGCACAGAGATTCTTTTATCTTTTATCTTCTGGGGCACAAATAAAGCTTAAGCACTCAGTATTGAAATATATGGCTTTTAATAACAAAAGACCCCTTGGGCAAAGCCTATGGCTATTGTATTGTTGAGCAGGTGATAGCATCCATCCGGGCTACAGCTGTTTTCTTCTTTTGTTTGTTACATATGCAGATGTTGCTATGAGGAAAGGAGTCAGCAATGACTGATGTGGAGCCTGTGGTCACAGATTTTGCAGCATCAGGACGGGCAGGCCGCCGGAACGCTTTACCGGATATTCTGGGCTCTCCTGCTGGTGCTGGGACTTCAGATCTGCCACACAAACTGGCTGAGCTCTCCGTTTCAGAAGGTAATAGCTGTACATTCAAGAAGTGGACATTTTTATGCAGTCGTCCTTTGCTTTCTCCTTAAGACTTCGGCCACAGTGCAGTTTTGAAGTCAATACTAATATTCTTTCTTCATTTAGGATTAAATTCAACCTTCCAAAGCAGTTACCACTTGTACCTCCTGATGAAACAAGTTAATTTTAACCCAGACTGTCTGCCATATCCACCCACAGATTTAGTGTTCAGCAGCCTGGGGAAAGGTGCTGGGAACTCAATTCCAGTTCCTCTGAGGAAGAGCAAACACAGTTGCATTGCTGGGCAGCGTGGAAAACCCTCACTCCAGCTATAAATTAGGGTCTACTCCTGCACAGAGGTAACTTAGCACAAGACAGCAATCTGCACTGTTAATCCAATTACAGCTATCCTAACTCAGGCATATACATTAAGAGTAGGGTTTACAGTGATTTACTCCTGCTAGTAGGCTTTCAACTTTGCTATCTGAGACCAGTGTCCTATTTTGCCATGTCCTTTCGTTTGATAAGGTGCTCTGTTGATTTAGCACAGATCCAGTCAACACCAGCTTTACATTTGAGTTCTTTTTACTTTCAGGGGAATTTTCAGATTCGGAAAAATCTGGTTTCTAATGCCTATGAAATGAGAATTATAGGTTGGCCCTCAGCATGCATTGCCCCTACTTTTTTAGGTTCTGATTTGGAAGTAACTTTTTCCTCTCATGCCCATCAATGTTGCTGCACAAATGCCACTGCAACTGGTGGTCCCACATCCAGGAGCAGCGATGGTGTGGGTGCAGCACAGCGGGAGGTAGGCCTGTGCTGAGGAGTGGAGGATCCATGAATCTGAACTGAAGCAGATTATAGGAGGGATTCCCAGGCTCTGAGGACGCATGTCCTGCTTGTACGTTGTCCGAATTACAGGATGTTGAGTTTACAGCCCCCTAAAGCACCATAAAGGCAGGAGGCATTATGATGCCTCCTGGAAGGAGGCATTATTTTTGCAAAGGGACAGCACAAAGTTTTATGAAGGAGAGAGGGTGGACATAACGAAAAAAAGGGTAAGACAACAAGGTCAGATACCCTCAGGCTGCAGGGCAGTAGTGAGGGGAACTGGGAGAATCTGGAAGAGCATGTGGGAAGGACGGCGGGCACTCTGTCAGTACATTCAAAGCCCTGTGAGTCGAGTTAAAACTCCTTTGTTTTGAGGAGAGATTTTTCCCTAGGAATATGAAAAGTATGTCCCTACAGATTTTCTCCTTCTGGTGTGTGCGACTGGAGCACTGGAAATCCATTCCAAAGCACACACAGTCACTTAACATTTAATGCTTTGGTTTTCAAATATTACGGGTTTTTTTATTCCAAATAGCTCTTCCGCCTGGCACAGTCAGGCTCCAGCAGGAAAAGAACTGTTTCCCTTATCAAAGGGGAGGTAGATGGGAATTTATATTGTTATTAGTGTCAGGAGCTGTGGAAGTGAAGTGACCAGTCCAACCCGCTGAAATACTCATTGCTACGTTATGTGTAACTAACCTTTGTATTGTTTAGAGCAGTGAACCTTGAGGGAGATGCACCCTATTAACCATGTTAAACAAAGCACAAAAGAATAGAACAGCTGTAGATAAGTTCCTCATGTTTGTTTCATTTTGGCCTCTGGAAAGTTTAGTAGTTAGAAAGAAAATAATTTTTAAAGCATGCAAAATTTCTCTCTTCAATCTTTTTTTTTCTTTTCCTCTGGGTAAAAATAAACATGAAAGAGTGAAAGTCTTGTTAAAAGAAATGTTACAGCACAGCATAAAATAAGTACTTAGCCCTGCAGACAGCATAATCCTCCTCTTCTGGTGCCTGTCCAATGCATTAAGAAGAAGAAATGAAACACAGCTACATTAGTTTTAGCAAAATGTACTGATGCTTTCTTACAACTGCAAGGACCAGCACTGCCAGGATTTGAAGAACAATTAAGAGCATGGAATTATCCTTTGCCTTTGTCATTGACATATAGCTGTGCCAGAGCGTGCCTGGAAGGAGCAGTTTCTGTTATCAGCAGTTTGCAGTAGTGATAATAGGAAATGAATACAGGATACAGTTAGGTCCACTCTGACTGCTTGGATGCTTTTGGGGGTTGGGAATTCTACAAGTATCAGGTGGGAAGTGCAGCCTCATTGTGTTGTAAGTTAAACTTCTGATGAGACAGCAAGCAAAACGAGGAGAATTCATCAAAATGGATAGAGAGTTTGGAAGCTCAAGTGCTGTGACAGGGAAACAGTTTGTTTGTGAAATGTTTGGGGCTCTTAACAGGCATCTCTTTTTGCCTGTTTCTGGCTTTAACAATAAGTTGTTAAAAAAATGAAAGCCATTTCCAGCTCAGAACAAAGAAGTTGGATAAATGAGAAAAGTGGAGAAGATGGAACATGTGGCTATATAAAGTATGCCCTATTTTTTTTCTGCTCTGAAAGATTCAGTGAAGATTATGGGAAATGGTGAGGAGGACTTTCTCCATCTTGCTTCAAATTTAGCTAATGCTCATTGGATCATACATTTCCTGTCTTTCTAAAATGCTGTCATCTGCTGTCATAGTGAAACGTCAGAAACAGGATGCACTAATACCTTTTGTCTGGCTTAGAAGAGAAAAGAGACTTTGCTTTATTCTTTATGAATATACAAGGATCATAGCTGTGTGATGTAAATTTCCATGTAGTCTGCAAGCCGCACCAAATTAACATTCTCATGAGATGGACAGGAGAGATTTTGGCACCAGGTGTTTATCTCAGAGCCTAACTCTGAAATGAAGACCATCTGTATCCTGTCTGATCATCTTCTGATGGTGCGTAAATTTTGGAGGGCTGAGACTTTCCACAGGTGGTCTGGTGGGAGGCGATACTGGAACCATGTTAAACAGTTGATTGTTGTCACTGGTGATCCAAAGGTTGAAGAGTAGTCTGCAAGAAGTTTGAGAGCAAAGAGGCTATATTGGTCTCCCACATTTGGTAATCTGCGTTAGGGCACCATTCTGCCAATAACCTTTATTGTTTGCTGATTTTTTTCTAGGTGACTGTGTATAACTATCTTGATACACTCAGCAGCTTAGCACCTGTTGCACACCTAAGTGCTACCAACTATGAGATTAGATTTCCTCTAACAGTTTTCCTTTACCCTGTCTGCAAGACTCCATTAATATTAGACATCCAACCCCACACAGAAACAGCCAATAGTGGAGATTGCTCTGTCTCCCTTTCCTCAACAGTGCTGTGCTATGTAATGCTGAAGGGTGTCAAATAACTCGATTCCTAATTTACCAGTATAAAACTCCAAAGCCTCCAAACCTGTGAGCAGACTTACAACAGTTTCTGCCAAGAACTTTAGCTGATGAATTGTGTACAGCATTATATATTTGCTGTGATACGTAGAGAGCAAGATATATAACTCTTTTGAATGTTTGTGATATTTTATGACAAGTCTTCAGGGCAAATAGCTGAAAATGTACCCCTTAGTTTACAACTATTAAAGTGGAAGATGGTACAGCCAGATACGCTGAGCAGACCTCTCTTTGCCCCCAAAAGCTATGGGCTGTCTTAGTTTTGGGTTTACAAACTGTTCTGTTAGCACTGGTAATGCCATGTGGGACTTGAAGGTAGTGTTAAAATAATTATGCTTTGCAAGGAAATTGAGGCAAGAGGAGTTCCTGTTTCTCAGTGAGAGAATTTGAGCATCAAAAGCAACAGAGTGGAACTCTTCGTCTAATGACCATGCACACTGGGGAGCTTTTACTTACATTAGTCATATAAGTATTCAACTCTAACCTATGGAAGAGTCAACTTCCAAATCAGAGTAACAAAAAATCCTCTCGTCTTGTGAAGGCAGGGTGAATTTGCCTAGGTATTTCTTGGCAAAGAAAGTCAGCCAGATAACTGGCATGTTCATAAACTCTAATATTATCTACCTGAAACCCAGCAATGCTCAGAGAAGTGCAGTATTCTAACTTGACTTTGGAAATCACCCAGAAAAGAAAGAATAACCATAATAAAAAGTTATCTCCAATCTGTTTCTTACAACCAAATGCACATTGATCAGCATGTGCAAGGAGCTGGCAAATGAACAACAATGGGCAATTGCTTTTGGAAGATGCCTCTGCAAGTTCTTTATCTTTTGAGTTAATCTCTCTTTCTAAAGCACCCATGAGTGTGGTAATAAAGAGCCAATCCAAACAGAGATGATCAGTGAACCCAAATATTTGGCTGCAAAAAAAAAAAAAGCTGTGAGAATGTGTGTGGTATAAATGTTTAATTCTGTCTTTTTTTAGATGAAGGAGCAGAGGGTGGAGAAGTGCCATCATCCAAAGCCTTGCTGGAAAGTCAAGAGGCAGAAGGAAAAAGCACTGATTCCTAACACCTGAGGACTGCTGGATTAATGCAACCCATCGACAGACTTTCCAGTTTCCTGTGTCACCCCTTCTGAAGTGTGGTAGCAACTTTAGCAGCAAAGACAAGATTTTGCAAGACACTTGTACTTAGATGACATTAACGTGGAACTACTGTTTTTTCTACTGTCGTCCTTCAAAACCAATGTTCTACACATCCAAAAGGGAAGAGAACTAAAGAACGTATCTGGTTTTGGGTTTTCCCATGGTTATAGTATTCATCCTAACTAATCTTCTCTGGCAGTTTCAATTAATATACCTAGCAGATGTATCACCAACTAATGATTGCTTCAGAATAAAAATCCTGTTTCTTAATTTCCCAAAATAGCTTCTTTCTCTGTGACAGAGAGGTGTATTCACTCTCCCCACCTTAAGATGATATTAAGTATATATTAGATTACAGACATTATCTGTATTTATCTCCTGAGATTTTTGTTCTGATTAGGCATATGTAGATGGGTGTGAGAAATAAAAAAAGAAGCAACTTTTTCTCTCCCCCTCCTGTCTTCAAAAGGTTTTGTAAACTACTTAAACACCAGTGTTTGTTTTCAAACTCTCTTTAAACTCTATTTGATTATGGCAAATCATCTCAGTTCTCCCACTCTTAGCAGTCTTGCCACTTCTGTCATTTTTGTTTTCAGGCTGAATATTGTAGCTGTTCATGTGTATCTAAAATAAAGTAGCCATGTTTGTAAGTGATTAAAATTGTTTAATCTCACTGTGGAAATTAAATAGCTATCGTCTTTTCTGTCTTCTGTTGATTCTTTTGATATTTCTCCTGTATGACAAGACTTAAAACCCCATAATACGTATTTCTTTTATTTCATCTGGTTCTTGCTTTATTGTTTTCTGACAATGAAGATATTTCAGTCATTGTGATTTTTACAAAGATTTTTACGCAAAGGTTTTTCTCTGCTGATGGGAATTGTTTTGTTATGGAGGTTATGCTCCTGGAAATACTTAGCATTCATTCCCTTATTGTAGGAGATCGAAGATTCGGGTACAGACATGCACCTTTACTGCAGGCTAGGGCAGCAGCCATTTATGTACTTCTCGAGACGTAACCAACGCTGACATCAAATGCTTCTATTTGCCCACACAATCTCTCTGCTGGGCTGTAGCCAGACAGAGGAAGCATCTCTGATGGGTGCATTCCACATTTGACCGGTATTCCATCTGTAAAATATTTGTGTATTTTATAGCTGGCAGAGAGCTTCTAAGAGGTCTCTCTGCACACCTACCATTCTTACTGTGCATTTACTCACACACTGTCTTTGGGGGACCATTCAGGAAAGGATTCAGTTTCATCCAACTGAACTGACACTTAGTTCCCTCCACTTACCTGTATTCATTTAACAAGTGCAACATTGCAGAATTACTTTCAGGTTTGGAAAGGTAAAATAACTTACTCCACTGGAGCAAAACAGGTGGCTTAAGGAAGTCTAAAAAACTGAACTAGACACTGGAGGACCAGAGTTGAAAACTGCAGTGGAGAGGGACTTGGAGCTAACTATATCTGTGGTACTCACTCTTGTTCTGGGTTGCAGTCCCATTCTCATATACCAGCCTCCTTTATACCATCACAGTGCATAAAATTGCTCAATTTTAAGAAGTTAAAATGATCCCATGAAAATCAAGTAGCTGAGTATTACTGAAACAGAATTCCTTATGTGCTTTAAGTGGAGCATATGCTAAAGTGCTCTTCTGGGTCATGGCCTATATTCTCCTCTTCTTTCACAGTTGCAGCACTGGATATATTTAGATTCTTCTCTTAGAGAATACAGACACTGAAATTTGGGTTACAAGAATAGATACTTAAAAGTAAGTATTTTGTTAGCCTAAGGTGCTTTGAAGTTTTTCACTGTGAAAACACCAATTATGAACTAGTTGAATTTAGCAAATTGTTCATGTGCTAAACTCTGTATAAAAACCATTCCACAGCTATACACATACATGGAGTTAACTGCTCACAGATGTATAGCTTGGAACTAGTCAGAATGCTCAACACTGGAAAATTGGTGCCTACTTTGTACTTGAACTGTATGAACCTGTCATTGAGAAAGATTAGGTTGCTGCCTAGAAAGAAGAATTTTAACAGAGAATTAGAAAAACTGCATAAGAAGTAAAGACTAACAGGAAGATTTAAAATGCAACTCAATTAAAAGCAGGATGAACATTTTTGATCTATATGTGGGTCACATATACAGTCCTCATTTCCCTGTGTATCAATCTAGTTGCAGATCAGCCAAGCTACAGATGCAGAAGTAGTTCTTTGCCACATGCATGTATGGTTTGTGTCTAAACAATTATTAGTCCAGGTTGCATGAGAGAGATCTTTTGTAGTTAGTTCAGATATAGAAAGAAGAGGAATATCTAGTTACGCCCTGATTTTGTTAAATAAACCTTTCCAGTTCTGAGCCAGCTGCATATTTCTGACCAGTATAAACAGAACCACAAACACTGGTTGGTGTGGGAGATGTTGTGCCACATAAATTTTGGTCCAGAAGAATTCGTTAGTTGTGTATTACACTTGACTCAGCCTGACAGGAGCTGTCTGGGAGTCTCTATGCCATGCTGTCTAGTAGTCTGGGGTTTAGGCAGGGTTACTATCTTAGGCACAGCTGAAGTTGGAAAAGCTCTGGTTCTTTTCTTTTTAGTATCTTGAAGACAGGTAATACTTCTACTAAACTTTGGCTAAACCTGTAAAGAGCAAATTAAGTGTTTCTGAATACATTTTTCACCGAGCCAGTTTATCCAGTTTCAACCATTATCCAGGCTGTACCTCCCATTCGCTCCACTAATGGGTAATTGATGACAGTGCGTTCTCTTAATCTAGAGAGTAACAAAGCTATGGCCCTGAATCAGCGGAGTATTTTAAAACATGCTTAACTTTAAATGCAGCCTAGTCTCACAGAAGTCAATAGAACTACTTAGTGCCTAAAATTAGGTACATACTTAATTACCTTGATAAATTACAGCGGCAAAATTCTATTAAGGCTAATCTGGTATTATAATGCATTAATCCCAATTTCCATCCCAGCAAGTGCAGTACAGGTAATAGCATCTTTTTCATCAGCTTACAGCACTAACCTGGGTTTTTAGAGAGCAAAGAAATTCATTTCAGTACCAAGCAAAAAAGGTACCTTTGTTGTCTCCAAATTTTAGAACTTAATCAAGCAATTATTCATTCTTAGTCAGTCTGCATATTAAAAAAAAAAAAGGCAGGAAATACACTTGTAACTTCATTGTGCATATATAAAACAATTTAGGTACTTTGAATATACAGAAAATTAGCCTCAGATCTTTTGCAGTTGTCATTAGGAAGGTAATTTTATCTGGGTCAGCCCTTCATCAGAAGCTTCATCTAAGAGGTGGGTGAACATGCTGAGGTGCATCTTTTGTTGCTATAAAACAGGAAAGTTCAATTTGTTATCTGGAAGGCAATAAAGGACTAAATAGGTTTTGAGGTAGGGGACTGATTATTAGAATGTTCTCACTTAGTGAGATTAAGAGAAGTAATTAAACATTTTTTAAAATTAAGCCTATTTGCTATGATTCTTCATACAGCTATCTCCACCTGTGCCGTATACCATCACTGTGGTACAATACTGCATAGGCTGAGCTTGGATGGATGAAATGAGTCGCAAAGCAGTTCGTAAAGTGGTATGCTTTAAAAGAAGTTTCCAGAGCATTGATAGTACAGCAATATACAGGCCAGATGTAGTTGTCACTGAAGACAAAGATCGGTTTTATACTAACTACAGTGTGAATTGTATCTAACTTTAGTTTTATAAGTCATGAGTTACTAATCATATGGAAAATTTCTTCCAGCTCAGAAAGTCCATGAACACACATGCTTGGAGGCAAGGAGGCTAGTTAGTGGAAACATCATATATGTTTGCACTATCCAAGACATCATATTTAGTTACATGGACCTACGATCTGACCCACAGTGGCCACTTCTGTGTTGCGCAGTTTTCATACAATGGTGATCATACAAAATAATATAACTGCACTTGCATTAGTTAAAAATTACAACAGAGGAGTGGCTAGAAGAGGTTTAAGCTACGCTTTACCATCAGTATTCCAAATATCCTTTATGTGTCACACATACAAATAGGAATACTTCAACATTTAGCAAATTACTCAGGACTGGTTCATATTCCTCTCTTCTGTCTGCTGGTGCTCTCTGTGTGATAAAGCCCGTAAAAAGCAACTGGGCAGAGATTTCTGCATGCTTTTCTCCACCGGTTTGGCACAGGCTATATTTGCTGTGCTCAGCGAGCATAAGCCCCAGACCCACCGTGGTGCGTGTGGGTTCCCCAGGGTCCACCCAGCACACAGGCCAGCGGGGCTGAGCCCACTGGGGTCCCAGGGCACTTGCTCTGAAGCGATTTGGGTAGAAATAGCAAGGGCTTAAACTGTCCTGCCATCTAGTGGGATCCTCAGCCTGCCAGGTAGTTTGTGCAAGAGGAGGGAGACAGTTTTCAGAGACCTCAAAACCATCTGGGAGACAGCTGCTGGAGAGCGAAAGTGCCGAAAGGGTGCGAGCCAGCCTGGTGAGGGGGTCTGTCTAATCTGAGACCTTCACTTCAAGGGTTTCCCTAAGGGTCAAGTACCCTGGTGTCTCTGTGTATTCAGAAAGTTGGGTGACTGCAAACAGGAGGCGTCTCATGCTGCTGAGAACATCGTTCCAATGGTTTACGTAAGCTTGGAAAAATAATGCTGGCTGAAGCTTCCCCACTCCACAGGGCTGCTGCCATTCGGAGATGTGCGGCACTCCTTCCCGCTGCCCCTTGTACCAAGATGAAAACAGTCCCAAGTGAATTACACTTAAGATTTGGGGAAATTCTTTGATAGGTCCAGAGAAGGTGGCATTTACTTTATGAATTCATTCCCCTCTGTTTTCTACACGTTTTCTGTACTTCCTCGCCCAGTCAGCAAGAGCACGGCACCGCCGGTTCAGAGGCCCAGACCTCTTGGTGGAAACTGGCCCACACTGCCTGGGCAAAGGAGAGATGCTGCGCTTGGACATGGAGGGCTGAACCGGCCCAAAGCATTTTCAACCTCTAAATTCTGTCATAAAACAGGTGGCTGAGTCTGGCTTGCAGCCTACCCTGCTTTAGATGCTCGCCCTGCGATTTGGGCTAGGGTGCCAGTACTGCCATAGATGACTAGTTTTGACCTTTCTTAGGGAGGACTCTGTTTCATCTTCCCCACCTGAAGCTGTTCTACTTCGGATAGTAATTAGCAATACATGCTGAGAGCAGTTATGTTATTATTTTGGTTTATTTCCCTGTTCAGCCCAGTGGGGACCAGTTCCTATCCCAAGATGGCCGGGAGCGACAGGAGGCCTGAAGGCCATCGCTCTGCCCTGTCTCGTGCCACGTCCTAATGCCAGATCTCCAGATTTTAATGCAAGACTTACGTTTGATGGAAAATGGGGGTTT